GAAACTCAGCTTCACACAAGGACACTAGCATAAATGTTTGGCTGTTGAACTGAATCATTCAAGGTCACTATAAAGCTAGCATGTGGGTTTCAGCACGCAGCATCCCCTTTTGACTGGAGGACAGCTGCCACACATCTCACTCATCCACACTCAACATACACACCACTTACTGAGCTATCATCATATAGTGGAGGCACTTTCTGCAACAGTACCCCCACTCTGGATGGCATTTAAGCAATAATTCCACTCCAGCCTTACAACCCATAAAACTGATGCACAATCCCTATAGCTAACAAGAGATAGCTATGTCAATCATCATTACATATAGGTGAGGTATAGTATCAAATTACATATCCCAGTGATATATTTAGCTCATGTAAGGTGAAGCTATATTTGCAAAATTAAGCTTTACATGCCATAGAGGAGGAAAGAAATTACTCAATGGCATTTATGATGACCAGGCAGGACACAAACTGAACACTATCAGGTATGAAAAACATACAGCAAAACATGTTCTTTTAGATAACCATTTGCTCATCGGTTAATTTTTTTTAAAAGTTTGAACAATTGAACAGTAATAAAGAAAATAGATATATGTGGCCTTGTTGAATAATTTTAGCTTACTAGAATAGTTGGAACCCTAAACTGAATCCATGGCCCTACTTGGAATTATCCATGTGCCGTACTGGTCTGGTTCTCTGCACCGACGCCTACACCATCAAACTGGTGTGCCCAAAGGAGGGGAATATCCCATCGCACCCCCACCATTCTCATGGTTGACAGTGGAAGGGCAAGATGGGGTGAACACATCCAGATTTGGACCCATGCAGTTGAGGTAGGCAGCAGGAAACAGCCAGCACTGGTTGCATCAGAGAACAAGCAGGTCCAGGTCACAGTCTGCCAAGTCCTCCTCTTAAGATTGGTGGTGGAACCTCCATAGGTTCTCAGTGTTGACTTTGGACCAAGACCCATGTGTTGTCCAAGGGCTCCCAGCTGCAGCAGCGCTTTAACTGGTCACCTTGAACCTTGGGTTCTATTGTGTCCGGTAAAAGAACCGGAGAGGATAAGGTCCTTCATATGATGGGAGGAACTTTTTGACTTTGTTCTTGACATGACGTGTCCCTTTAATGAGATACCAAACAGGCTCTCCAACTTTATTCTGTGTATAGCAGCAGTTCTTATCGTACTGTCTCTTTGCACTTGTGAGAAGAGCCCCGAGTCTCCCAGGGCTCTAGGGATTTGGTGAGCCAACAACTGTTCCTGCATCTGCTGCACATACTCTGGAGCAGTGGGGTGTTCCGGATCAGGAGGCAAACCTGGCACAAGGTCCACTGGTTCACTTACTTCTCGGTCCAACATCATAAAGTTTGGAGAGAAGCCTGTAGCACTATGTTTGGTTGCTCTGTATGCCATAACAGCATAAAGAATCATCAGGTCCCAATCGCAATGGCAGCTGCTGTAGTAGCCAGAGTCTTTTGGAGGGTGCCGTTGAAACAGTGGTGGAGCTAGACTTTTTTTCAAGGGGTGGCCAAAGGGTGAGCAAGGCTTTATCAGAGGGCTCCATATACAAATGGACCGTTTCATGGAACAAAAGGAAAAAATATTTGTTTCCTTTCATTCAAAATTAATTAATATAACTAGTTAGGTTATAATTCAAAGCTTTCATATGACATAGCCTACTTACATTTCAGTCAGTATAAAACTTTTTTTTCACATATTCTTACCACACATTTCAAGCAAGAGCTGGGAGATATAAAACATTACAGGGCAGCATGTCACTAAAACATGTTAAAAGAATCTGTCTAAAACACGATCTATCAGCACTAGCATGGCTAATATAATAAACGAGGCACTATGCAGCGGTGCACAACCATTTTTTTTCTTTTTACAAATGTATGACAAGTGCCGCCTCTCATTAGGAAGGAAACAGTGGTTACTGCTGAGCGGTAAAATGTAAATACCTGCAAAACTCCTCGATGGTGTAACTCTAGGAGTGTTCAAGTCCAATCCTCGAGAGCTACCGTCCTGCAACATTTAGATGCAGCCTTACTCCAGCAGACCGAGATCAGCTCTGAACAGGTCTGGTAATGAGCCATTCATTTGATTCAGGTGTGTTGGAGCAGGGATGCATCTCAATGAACAGCGTCGGGCTGCCTTCAGGGACAGTCGGAAATTACAGTTTTCCTGGCAAATCTTTGCTGATCTCATAAGTATTATATTTTAAAATTACCATTTCCAGTGGGGTGGCAGTAGGGGTGGCAAAGGCTCTGTTGAGGGTGGCAAGTGCCACCCCGGCCACCCCTCTGGCTCCGCCACTGCGTTGAAATGCTCAACCATCTGACTGCGGCCTGAATGGTGTTGTGTGAGTCTTGTCTACAATTCACTGTGTTAGCAATTCACTGCTAACACAGTGAATTGCTGTTCACTGTGTTAGTGCTTGAGGGATTCCATAGCGGCACACCCACTCACTAGCAACGATAATGGCAACGGTCACAGCTCACTTGTTTGGAATAGGAAATGTTTCAGTCCAGTTTGTAAAGTAATCTCGTATCACAAGCACAAAGCAGTTTCCATGCTCAGACTCATTTAGTGGTCCTATAATATTCACTGCAATGCACTCCTTCCTGGACTTTTCCCATGGGAGCTTGCAGTGTCTTCTGGGATCGAGCCCTTGATGCACAGCTGGTACAGGTTTTACGCCAGAGGGCAACATCCTCCCTCTTATGGTACCAGTAGTATCGGGTTATTAATCTGGTCAGGGTCTGCTCTACACCAAAATGTCCACCCACTGACCGTCATGCATCTGTCTCATCACATCAAGTTGTAGTTTATGTGGCAGCACAATTTGTGGGTAGCATTGTATGTCATCAAGGCAATCGAACCGACGGACCAGAACTCCGTCTCTGAAGTAGAGTCGTTTTCATTGAGTTCAGTATGTCTTAGTGGTATGTGTGCTTATGAAAACAGAGATGTTATTGGACACGAATAAGCTTTACGTCTGAGAGTATCATAGTATTTATACCTTCATTTAAGACACTTTAAATGAAGGTATTCATTTTTTATTTAAGGGAAATCTAACATTTTTCTTCTTCAAACCAAACCGTGCTTTTCTTCAAAAGTGATAATAGAATGTGTTATTTTAATACTTGACCTTTAATATGATTTTCCATAAATCTAATCTGTCTTTTTTGTTTAAACTGACCCAAGGAAGAAAACTGATTTTGTCCAAAGCCATTAGTTATTGTTGACATAGAATTTTAAGTTAGCACAATACTGCACAGGATAGCTTTGACACATATAAAATATAACATAGAAAGTTAAAGTACACTCTAGGTTCATATAAATTTAGATGAAACTAAAAACAACGGCTCAATCTCTGAAACGCAGATAAATTCTTAAAAGGAGGATCAGACAGAAGAAACAGAAAACATAGGGCTAGACTCCTTGGATCTCTTGAGATAAGGAGCCTATATGCCAGGCAATTAACAAATTCCTGAGCATGGTTCAAAAGTTCACTAGGATCTTAAAACTTTTTATAAATAATTTTATCTATATTAGAATTAACTATATTTCTTTAAGCATGTTTTTAAATAGTTACTTATTAGATCCAAACTTATAGTCATTATTTAGCATTACATTGTGTGCAAGCTTGGTTAAAAATACAAACTACTTTCTTGTGAAAACATTTTGAGGCAGAGATAGCGCTGCAGCTGCAATCATATATCAAACTGGACAGCGGCTGATACGAGAAGGGTTTGCCGTATATCTGCTTTGGGGGCTCTTTAGCAGGAGGTAATAAAATTAACATTGAGACAGCCCACACAAAGGAAAAAGAACACACCTCCTAATGCATATATTTAAATGATGAGATTACGCATTCTATAAAATGATTTCGTTTACAGCAGAAGTTGGAATCTCTTTGTGCTGGGTGAGAGTTTTCCCGGAGGATGCATCTTCTGTTGTCTTTTTTACTCAGTTCTTTGTCTCTGTTTTGTAATATCTTGGACTTTTGCTCTAGGTGAGAAGCTTATTGTAAAGTTCTTCTTGGATTGATTTTCTCTGGATAAAACTCTGAATATCTGAAGTCTGACGTCGTATGATTGCTCTTTTCTCTCTGCACACTTACACAGACACAGGAATTCGGGACTAAGAATTAATTAACGAGCTAAGATCAAGTTCTTCATCTTTTTAATTCTTAACATTATATAATTGTTGCAATATTTGGATAAGGTCCTTCATATGATGGGAGGAACTTTTTGACTTTGTTCTTGACATGACATGTCCCTTTAATGAGATACCAAACAGGCTCTCCAACTGTTTGGTATCTAAAATAACAGTCTGAGGTAAGACTTGTTACAATGATCCAGTCTACAATTGCATCAAAATGAGTATCTGTGTTGAGATCTAAATGCACAGATGTAAGATGTTCGCTGTCCAATCTTTAGTTGTTTTTCAAAATAATGGACAGAAAGCTGGAACAAAGTATCGTCCAGTCATAAGACATACATGAAAGAACAGGGAGCATTTGACTGGTCTTGGTTCCGTACTGTTTCCTTCCCTCTGATCGCAGTAAGATGAGATAGTGTTGCTCTCACTGAGTTCAGAGCAGTTAAGAAGAGTGACAGAGAACAGATGGATGCTTTCAGATCAGTCATGTCCTTGAGGAAGACCAAAGGACATTTTAATATAACAAAACTGACAGCTGCTCTGCAGGTTCAAAAAGATCAGAGAAACTGTCCTTTTTATAAAGCATAAATTATGGAAGCTACTTCAGCAACTTTACAATCAAAGGTACAGAATTGTGTCTTTCAATAGCTGTTTTCCCTCTCCCAATAATTAATACAGACAGAAAACCTCACATGTACTTACATACAGAAAAATTATGTTTTTCAGACAGGGTAACAGTCAGACTGCAGTCCAGGCAGTAATAAACTCCATAGTTGATCAACAGTTTTACCGTTGTAGTTGCTGGTAATGAAACCTGATGTGCATTTCAACAGTTCTCAGGCATGCCGGGATCCTGGATGGGATAGGCTGTCACTGGAGAAACAAGAGCCATACTAGGGCCTACCAGAAACCTCTTCCAGGTACTAAATTTAGAAACAAGTCATGCTTTAGCACACACACCCTCTTCCAGTTCAACAGTGGTGCTTATATTCATTGTGCAGATTTTTAAAGCTTTGTATTTCACCAACATTAGATCAATCAATCAACCAATTTTATTTGTATAGCACATTTCAGCAGCAAGGCATTTCAAAGTTCTTTACATTATAAACACAAAAACGCAAAGTAATGCAACATAGAATAAACAATACATTATTCCATCATTAAATTTTTAATTGATTACATTTCAAATTAAACTCTAAACAGGTGCATTTTAGTTGAGATTTAAGGAAGTCAGGGTTTCTGCTGTTTTACAGTTTTCTGGAAGTTTGTTCCAAATTTTTGGTGCATAGATGCTGAAAGCTGCTTCTCCTCTCTTGGTTCTGGTTCTGGGGATGCAGAACAGAACCAGAACCAGAACCTGAGAGTCTGGAAGGTTGTTGTAAACAACAACAGCAGATCTTTGATGTATTGTGGTGCTAAACCGTTCAGTGATTTATAAACTAACAAGAGTATTTTAAAATCTATTCTTTGAGCTATAGGGAGCCAGTGGAGGGACTTTAAAACTGCTGTTATGTCTCTATCTTCCTGGTTTTAGTGAGAACAGGAGCAGCAGCTTCTGGATCAGCTGCAGCTGGAGGATTGATTTGTTGGACAGGCCTGTGAAGACGCTGTTGCAATAATCAATGTGACTAAAGATAAACGCATGGATGAGTTTCTCTAGATTAGGCTGTGATGTAGAGTAGATGCCGAGATCTACTCTATTTGTAAAATTTGATAAAGACTTACATCATAAATTTTAATTCAATTCAGTTTAATTATATAGTACCAATTCACAGCCCTTGTTGTGTCATGGCCTTTAATAGATTAATGGTCCAGTTCATCCACTACAAATTGATAGTTGTTATCAAGCAATGCAGTCAAATTCAGATTATTGCTCAAATTGGCAAAATGTTCTTTTCTAAGGCATCCTTGATTCTACTCAATTTGCAATAAATTGTCATATACTGTGCTTCTCTGTTTTCAGTTTTTATTTATTGTCATGAGGTGGCCGTATTCCTTAAGATCTCTGTGTTATTTCGTTTTATTATCTTTGCATGCTTCTTGTGAAGAGCTCAAATAGGACGGTGTTTACAGCAGTGTGTTCAAGCAGATCAGTCTGGCTCTGGTCTGCTCACTCATTCCTATACACTCGCTCTTTCAGGCTGAATATAGAAGTGATTCCATAGAAATAACACAAGTCACAAGTCTAAAACCTTTCTTCAGCATTTTGAGTTGCATACATGGTTAATAAGGCTGAACATATAATCCAGGCATCTGTTTTTTATAACTACATTTTGTGATTTTGCATAGATAAAGCAGTTTTTTCCCCCTCTTTGCTGTAACTTTCTTGTTGTAAACAACAACAGCAGATCTTTGATGTATTGTGGTGCTAAACCGTTCAGTGATTTATAAACTAACAAGAGTATTTTAAAATCTATAAACATGTTCTACTCTAAAAGTACTAAAATCTTCCTGCTCAGGATTCTGAGGTGCTTAGGCAGTAAATAAAGTTGAACATATAATTCAGACATTAGTTCATATACACTTTATCTAAGAACTTTGTACTTACATAAAAGTACAAAGTCTTTATCCAAGTATAAGTCTCTGAATACAATGATTTGACATGTTGTTTATATCTGATATTTTCATGATTTGAGACAGAATTATATGAATACCATTATATTACAAAATCACAAGCTATACCGGCTTGAAAAAAATTCATTTTATGATGAGAGTGACAAAAATATTTCATTTTGATCCAATACCAAGTGAATATCTCCTAGTGAAATAT